CTCAGAGTATAGGGCAGAATACTATAGGGGAACGTGATTACAGAATGACGATAGAAATGAGGCCTAGGGCTTATCTATAGGGTGAGTAAACCAGGTTGAATGTCGAGGGTTGGACCAGTCAAGGGCTCGATAGTCCCGAGGGTGACGGGGTCAAAATGGGTTCGAGGCGACTCGGGATAAGGTTGGGGCCGAAAAGGTCGACGGGGGCTGGTTTGGCTCGAGAACCAAGGGCCGAGCCTGCGGACCCGAGAGGTTCGCGTGTACTCTCTTTGGCGAGCCCCAGTAAGGAATCGTAATTCCTTACACTCTCCCAGCTTCTAAAAGAAGGCACTCCCTTTATCGAGGCCGGACCGTCATTACAAGTAATCCCCGATGTGATTGTAAGTCTTTAGCCCTGTGACAAGCGTTATGATTACGCCGGCCTGACGAGGTCTTGAGGTCGAACTTAAATCAATGGTCAGAAAGCGTCAAAACGGTCGCTTTTAACCTCAGCCGTCGAAGATGGTCGAATAATTCAGCTGACCAAAACTTGCAAGGGTAAATACTCCAGCGGGAGACAATGAACAGTGAAACTGTCGAGTGGTCGATTGATGATGGCGCGTGGCAGATGAAAAACTTCCATAATTATTACTGGCGAATAATGTGATGGTCGATGAAATGTAAAACCCGTTCGTCAAACGCGAGGTCGTTCGAGTCACATGCGAGAGCACGCGTCCGTGTCCTACGAAAGTCAGCGAACTCCATCAACGAAGTAACGAAATCAGGCGCGGAAGCATAACAGTGACGAATGATGCTCGAAGATGGATGATGGAACACGCCGAAGGGTCACACGGAAAATTGCAGCACAGCTACACTTCTCCCCTCTTCAAGAAGAAACAGCTCCCAACTTCCCAGGTAAACTCCAGGAAACTCAATGCTTTAGGGTAGTCTAAGTAATCCCACTCTGCTGCTGAAAAGTCTCATACTCAGCTTCAAAGATGCCGCTGCAAAACTCCAACCATAAGAAATCCCACACGGCTTCTGAAAGTCCCAGAAATCTGCTCCGAAGATGCGACTGAAAATACACCAACATGTAGATCTTCCAAACTGCTTTAGAGTGGAAAACTCCTCCAGGGTAAACCGCTACAAGGGTCTTGAAACTCAGAAGTAACTGCTCCGGGAGACTCCCACATGAACTGAAAATTCGGCACGAGTAGGAACACAGCTTGCGAGCTGGTCCCAACACAGCTCCAACAGTACTGCTGCAAAATCTTTTCGTTTCGATACTGCTCCTGATGGGTGACGATGATGCGGCGGGGTCGTGTTCACACTGTCGGGCGAATCACGCGAATTGCCGATGGAGGCAGTAGCGGGTGGTGGCGAGAGGCTGACGACGATGACGATGGAGAACCGATACGAATCCCGCTCCATTGAAAACACTCGAACAGACCCGGGTTCGAATGGCGCCAGCTGCATCAGCTTCTTTGTCCGTACACGCCGAAATATTCGGGAAGAACCGAAACTGCTGCTGCGCTTCTCCTCCTCCATGCATTCAAAATATTCTGAGAATATGGGTCGATGTCGCTCGTATCCCTGAAGATAACGGGCACAACTCCAGCTGTAAAACGTTTAGCTGCTCCAGCGAAAATGTCGAAACCACACGGTACTTTGCAAATACCGTAACTCCGCTTCACAGCTACCCATAAAACACTCAGGCATCACAGCGTCCTTTAGCAGCACCCCCACGATTTCTCCACCAGTTGTACGCATGAACGGCACCCTTTATATTAGGGAACACCGGAGTTGTGAGAGTACGACCCCGTTACACCACTTGGCCTTTCCTTAATTCCTTCTTATTTCATTTCTCTTTCTATCTCATCTCATTTGGTTTCCTCTTCTCCCTTTTCCATTAACCTTTGGTTTATCCTACTATTATAATTATATCACCGACCAGGCTTGGGATGTACTGGTGCTCTATATCTAGCGTAATTCTGCCGTAATCCCTTAAAGCCAATAGCCTCGCGTGGCTATACGCAGGGTGATTCTATCTTCTAGAAGGGTCTATTCCCTTAGGATAAGATAAACATAGTTACCTGATGTACTCTGGAAGTATAAAAGCGCCTTGTACTGATCGATAGTGCAATCTTTCCTCGAGTCATTCGATCATGTAACACTTGGTAATCAGAGCTTTTCTCACTCGGCCGCGCTCAACAAAGCAGCAGCAGCGGGAAAACCTGCCTCGAAAAACCGCCGGGGGCGACCAATTCAACGCCGATTCTGGTAAGCACCAGCTCCACGTTTTTTCGAATCACCCCCCCCGCGCGTGTTTTGAACAGGATGGCAACCTTCGACAACGCCGAAGTTACCCAACAGCTCTTCGCGCGCATCGCAGCCCTTCTGGAGGAGATGCGAGCGGATCACGAAGCGTGGCAAAACGAGTTCGAGCGAGTAACTCAACTCGCCGGAGCACAGCACGACTCGACAACGGCGACGACGCAGCAGTCGCAGCAGTTTCTCGAGGCTCCAAAACTGCGCCCACCTGAGCCGTTCGATCCGAGCGATCGAAACTCCGACGCCCGCAGATGGATCGACGGGATGGAGATCTACTTCACAGTCGTCGGATGGAGCTCGCCAGTCTGGGACGGTCAACGCATACGACTCGTGGCGACACTGATGCGAGGGCCGGCACTCGAGTGGATTGGCGGCAACAGTACCTTCATCCACGGTGAAGCCACGTGGCAGCAGTTCCACGCCGACCTGCCGAAACGATTCGAGCCGATAAATTCCAGTTTCCTTGCCCGGGAAAAAATTCATCGACACCGACAGTTCGAGAGTGTAGCGCAGTACACGCAACAGATGGAGGAATTTTATAATCGAATTCCCGACCTGACCGAAGGAGAAAAAGTACAGTCGTACCTCGCCGGGCTGAAGACCGAAGTCAAACGACAAGTGGCAGCGTCAAACTACGCGAGCTACAGTGACGTCGTTTCGGCAGCGGAGCGCTTCGACATGGTCAACGCTGGGACACGACGGACGCACATCGGCAGTACACGACAGGGCGACCGCTCGGCTCACCCCACGTTCGCCGACCCGATGGACGTCGACAGGTTCGAAGGGCGGCCACGTCCGAAAAACACCAACTACACGTGTGATTTTTGCGGGGTGCCGGGTCATCGAATCTTCGACTGCAACAAAATGAAAGCCGCACGCGCAGAGTATCGGGCACGAAGCAGTGGCGGGATTCCTTCGGCCAATCAGAAGACAAAAAACGGGAGTCGCCAGTGATCGCGGATCTAGCTGGCGAAAAAGAAAAGATCTGAAAACGGCCGCGGGATTCTGGGAAAATCAACTTCGACGAAGCTGATTCGACGCGAGAAGGAGGAAATGATGGGGGAAAATCTCCACCCCACGACCAGTCTTCGCTAGGGAAAATCGTCGAGGAAAAATACGACTCCGCGAAATAAGACTCAGCCGAGACAGGGAAACTCCTTGAAGACCCAAGAAATTATAAGGATTCGTTAAAGTTATCTTATAAAGATGCTTTAATGAAAACTTGTAATTCTCGAGGGGCTAGAGCCTTGGAGAAAATTCGGGAAGGACTCCAAAAGAAGCAGACAGCTGTGGAGATTATACCGGTACCGGACAACTTGGGGAAAAAATTGAGTGTGGAATGAAGCCGACCTTTCCACGGAGTCAACGTCCTCTCCCGACACCAGCCCACAACGACTACCCGTTCCCCAGGGAACACGTCGGTGGAGCTGAAGCAGCTCAAGAGGAAGCTGGGGGTCTACAAAAAGCTGCACAAACCTCGAACTCCTCCTCCGGATGCATCCAGTTCAGCAACTTCGTCATCAACGACGCGCACAGTCGTCAAGGAAACTCCGGGCCCTGGAGAGGAGCCGTTCTCCAAGCAGCCTCGGCCAGCTGCCAGCTCAGGAGTAGCTAGCAACACAAAGGTGTGTACGGAATATTGGGATGTGCCCTATGACCCAATCAATGAAACTATCTTTGGGTACTCCGAGCAACGCCTGCCCCTCATCTGCAAAGGACGACGCCTCCAAGCACTCGTGGACAGCGGAGCATCGCACACCGTCTGCGACAAGGCAGTAATCAACCAACTTCGGGAAGAGTACAAGCCTTCAGGATTCTCTGCAACGATGGTGGACGGCAACAAGTTACCAGTACACGGCGAAGCAGTGCTACACCTACAAATTGGACCACTGCGCTGGAGACCTGCACTCCCCATCACCAACATCAAAGGGCTTGACTTGATCTTCGGGCAAGACTTCCTAAAAAGATTCAACCCCGAGATCAACTGGGTGAATCGCACCTCAAGCATCTACAACAATGGACGGAGAGTACAGCTACCCAACTGGGACGATACAGGAGATATCCCAGTGGAGGCACTCGCACGGTTCGAGAAGGGCGCGAAGCGAACCGACACCGGGTTCCTGGCGATAGCAACAGAGGTGGAGAACGACGGAGAGTAGACCTCGGAACCTCCAGAAAAAATCAAGGAATTGCTGAAGGAGTTCCGAGACATTCTTCCTGACGATCTTCCAAACGAGCTACCGCCATACCGAACGCATCAACACAAGATCGTGGAAGAACCAGGTTCGAAGCCAACCTTCCGAGCACCATATCGGCTCAGCCCTACGGAGCTGACCGACATGAAAAAACAGATGGAGTATCTCCTAGCCAAAGGACTCATCCGACCATCTACTTCGCCATACGGTGCCCCAGTGCTCTTCACACCGAAACCGGATGGAAGCCTGCGCATGTGCATTGACTACCGAGCTCTTAACAAGCAGACCATCCAGAACAAGTACCCGGTTCCACGAATCCATGACCTGCTTGACCAGCTTCGGGGAGCTACGGTATTTTCTAGATTGGATCTGCGGTCTGGATACTGGCAGATACGGATGGCGGACAACTCTATCCACAAAACTGCTTTCCGAACTCGGTATGGATCGTACGAGTACCTCGTAATGCCATTCGGACTCACCAACGCACCGGCAACATTCCAAGCCGAAATGAACCACATTCTACGACCACTTTTGGACGAGTGCGTGGTGGTGTACCTGGACGACATCCTCATCTACTCACACGACATGAAGCAGCACGTCGAACACCTGCGACGCGTCTTCGAAATTCTTCGACGAGAACGATTCTACATCAAACTGTCCAAGAGCGAATTCGCCCTTGAGAAGGTCCAGCTCCTAGGACACATGGTGAGCGCTCAAGGAGTACGCGTCGACCCCAAGAAAATCGAAGCCGTACGTACGTGGAAGACACCCGAGAACGTGAAGGAGTTGCAGCAGTTCCTAGGCTTCGCTAATTACTATAACTGGTTCGTGCCACAGTACGCGAAACTCGCGGCACCACTCACGAATCTGCTGAAGAAGAACACGCCCTACAAATGGGAGTCGAAGCACCAGGAAGTCGTGGAGCAGCTGAAGCAAGCACTTATGTCCGCACCAGTACTCATCTTGCCAGATCCCGAACGTGACTACGTCATCGAAGCTGACGCCAGTGACTAGGCAGTGGGAGCAGTCTTGATGCAAGACCAAGGAAATGGACTGCAACCAATCGCCTACCTCAGCAAGAAACTGCACGGGGCAGAACTAAACTACCCGATACACGACAAAGAGGCCCTTGTCATCGTCATCGCCTTCAAAGCGTGGAGATGTTATCTCGAAGGACGAAAAAAAGCCGTCTACACCGACCACTGCAGCCTGAAATATTTGAAGACACAACCCAACCTTTCCAGGCGGCAGGTCCGGTCGATCGACTTCCTCGAGACACACTTCCACTACGACATCGTGTACAAGCCCGGCCACAAAAACAAAGCAGACGCTCTCAGCCGGCCTGCACACGTTGCCGCTATTCAGATTGAAGGGATGAATCCGCTCCTCAAGGGACTCTTCACACACGGGTACGCCATCGACCCTGAAATTCCCTTGGCAGAGAAACGACATCTGCTACAGTGGGACAGTGATATCGTGTACCGGAAAGGATCAACGAAAATCTGGGTACCCAATTACCCTCCTTTGCGCCAGTTACTACTCGAAGAATACCACGACGTCCTCTACGCCGGACACTTCGGTAGCAACAAAACGTTGACCGGTATTGCAAAACACTACTACTGGCCCCACTTGACAGAGGATGTTCAGAAATTTGTCACCTCCTGTGATACATGTCAGTGGATGAAGAGCAGCAAGCAGAAAAAGGCGGGACTACTGCAGCCTCTTCCTGTCCCAGAACAGCCATGGCAAGTGGTTAGCCTGGACTTCATCACCGGGTTACCACCTACCACCAACGGTCATGACGCAATCCTTGTCGTCATCGACAAGTTCTCCAAAATGGGACACTTCATCCCGACACACACGACAGCACGCACCGAGGAGACAGCACAAATATTCCAACCACACTTATCTCCGACCGAGACCCCAAGTTCACCAGCAAGTTCTGGAAGGAACTCATGTCTCCGCTCGGGACCAAACTCGCCATGTCATCCGCTTACCATCCGCAGACAGACGGACAGACCGAGCGCCTCAACCAGATTGTCGAGCAACTCCTTCGAGCAGCCTGCAAGGACGAAATCTCCAAATGGGACTTGCACCTGCCCGTTCTAGAGTTTGCTTACAACAACGCTACACATGCCGCTACTGGACAGACACCGTTCTTCCTCTGCTACGGACGCCACCCACTCACACCACAGAAATCGACGACATCCGCTACAGTCCAACCTGCACATGATTTCATCACAACCATGCATCAGCTTCGGGATCGGACCCACAAGCGCCTCCTCGACATTCAGCAGCAACAAAAGCGCCAGGCCGATCGCCATCGCAACGACCACACCATCACAGTGACAGACCAGGTGCTTCTTGACACCCGCAACCTGGACATCAGCCACCTCCCATCTAAACTTCGACCTCGCTTCTGCGGGCCTTTCCTCGTTGAAGCACAGCTCACTCCTGTTACCTTCCGCTTATGCCTGCCAACTACCTGGAAGATTCACAACACCTTCTATGTCCAACTTCTGAAGCCCTATCGGGATCCAAACACGATCTTCGTCGGACGCCAACCGCCGCCGCCGCCGCCCGTCGTCATCCAGAATGAACCCGAGTACGAGGTCGAGTCTGTGCTTGCACACCGCCGTCGTCGGAATGGCACCGTGGAGCTTCTCATCCGTTGGAAGGGTTATGATCCTTCTGAGGACAGCTGGGTACCTGAGTCCGGCATGGGTAATGCCCGTCGTCCTCTGCATGACTACCTTGTCAAGCAGGGTGTTACTTCTACCACCCAGCTTTGAGGAGGGGAAGTGTGAGAGTACGACCCCGTTACACCGCATGGCCTTTCCTTATTTCCTTCCTATTTCATTTCTTTTTTTATCTCATCTCATTTGGTTTCCTCTTCTCCCTTTTCCATTAACCTTTGGTTTATCCTACTATTATAATTATATCACCGACCAGGCTTGGGATGTACTGGTGCGCTATATCTAGCGTAATCCTGCCGTAATCCCTTAAAGCCAATAGCCTCGCGTGGCTATATGCAGGGTGATTCTATCTTCTAGAAGGGTCTATTCCCTTAGGATAAGATAAACCTGGTTACCTGATGTACAGTGGCGGATTAAATTGCCCGGATGTTTAACACTTTGAAACGTATCGTTATGCAACACATGTTTCGAAAATAGTAACACCCGTTTTTTTCCATTCTGTTACTCGGTTTTTGAGTTCTGCTTCATCCGTTTCTTGCTTGGCGCGATTGTGACACTAACGGAAAGTGGGGTTGAAATTTACTACTCGACTGTCGATGTGGACATTTCCTACCGAGCGGAAGAGTAGATCTATTTTCCCCCGTCGCTCAGTGTGTACATCGTCACGCGCACCAGTTCCTAGCTTAGTTGTTAGTCCGGAAGCGAGCCTACGACCGCATCGCTATGAAGCCGTTAAATGAGAAGAAGCGCGCGAGGATCAGAAGCATGTTGCGTGCGGGGCATTCGACTAGGAAAATAGGGAAACTTCTTGGCATAGGCAAGAGCACCGTGCACGATTACGGTATGAAACTCGCTGAGGAGACTAGTCGCGAGGAGGTGCGACCTACGATGCCTTCGGCCGGCCGCCCCCGCTTAATCACAACCCGTCTCCAGCGCGGAGTTATACGTGCGATTACTAGCGGCGAGGCGAAAAGCTCTTCAGACGCGGCCAAGATGTTGTTGGAGAAGCACGATCTCGCCGTAGACTCGAAGACGGTCCGCAACTCTTTACGATCCGCGGGGCTGATCGCCGTGCATCAGCCCAAGAAACCCAGGCTCTCACCGAAAAACATCCGCGATCGTCTCGACTTCGCGCGGGCGCATGCCGACTGGACGCTGGAGGACTGGAAGCGGGTGATTTGGTCTGACGAGACGAAGATTAACCGCTACTGCTCCGACGGACGTGCGTACGCCTGGATTCGCGAGGGCACCAGCCTTCGGAGCCACCAAGTCCAACAGACAGTTAAGCATGGGGGCGGTTCTGTGATGGTGTGGGGTTGCATGACGTATGAGGGGGCGGGGTTCATGTGCAAGATAGATGGCAGGATGGATGGGCCGCTGTATCGCAGCATCTTGCAAGATGAGCTCAAACAGACCATCGATTTTTTCAAGCTTTCCCCCTCAGAGGTCATTTTCCAGCACGACAATGATCCCAAGCACAGGTGTCGTCTGGTCCAAGACTGGCTTGGGGAGCAGGAGTACGCGGTGCTGGAATGGCCGTCGTGCTCCCCGGACCTTAACCCAATTGAGCACCTGTGGGCATACTTGAAAAGGCAGCTGGGGAAGTACGAAAAGCCGCCAAGGGGAATGCTGGAGCTGTGGGAGAGGGTGCAGGAGGAATGGGACAAGATACCGCCGGAGGTGTGTGCAAACCTGATCGACAGCCTGCCGAGGAGGATCAAGGCAGTGATTCGGGCAAAGGGACGCTGGACTAGGTACTAGTTTTCCTGGAATCTAGTGTGATACCATTTTCCGGTACAAATTGTCCACATGTTCTCCCATGCTATGCTTAGGAGTTTAAGGACCATGTGTGGTACTACTTTGGTGTTTGAACACTGGAGTGACTGCTCTAACTGAACTTCTCAGCGTTAATGCACACCGTACATTAAGGCTTAATGTATACGCCTCTGCACTCATAAAAATGCCAAAAAAGGCAAAACATGTGGACAATTTAATCCGCCACTGTACTCTGGAAGTATAAAAGCGCCTTGTACTGATCGATAGTGCAATCTTTCCTCGAGTCATTCGATCCTGTGACAGGAGTCCACCGCATCGGCATAATGTTTTGGCTGTCGATCGGGATCAACGCGCATCATACGCCGTCGATTTTAGCCCAGTTGTTACCCAACTCCGGTACCCCTGTCCAGCTGGTCGTGCAGACGTTCACTTATCTCGCGGCTATTGCAGGTTACCCAAAACCGCTTTGTTGCTGCTTAACTAACTAGGAGAATCCGCAGAGATAGGAGTGCGCACGCTTCTAGTCAGAGGAGCTTTAACGGGCTCGCCTACTAACTGCTAGACAACTCCCTCCTCCGTCGGAAACTCGTCAAACTACACCCGCAAAAGTCGGAAACTCCTTCTCCTGTGCCAGGTGAAACCCTCAGCTCCACCGCAACAATAACGTCAAAAATTTCGGGGATACTCCATCAGCATAGTGTAGTTCGTAGGTTCGCCCCCCTTATTTAGCCAGAAGCCGTCGATTAATAAATCGACACTGCTACTTGGTGGGAATGGTGATTTCCAGGCGACGTAGTTGAGCGAATAGCAGCCCGTACGTCGCTAACCCATCTGCTCCAGTGCTCCCGTCGTTCTTCTCCCAAAGCTTCAGCTCCTGACAGTTAACGCATTCAGCGACCGGTGGAAAAACACTTAATACACACCCGGGGGTGGTGGCCTCCGTGTCCGTTGATCGTGAGGGTATGAATCGCTGGTCCACGAAAAATGCCTCCCCACGAGGGAAGTCGCCCTCGCTGAGTACACTCACTCCAGCACAGCGTCATCACCTCCAGATGACCGTCGTGGTGAATAGTGCCGAGGTCGTTAATCTCAGCTGCTCCCACACAACTTCACACTCACACGTTTTCGTGCGATCGTATCGTTCCGAAATTGTCGAATCCTCCCATTGCCGAAATAGTGTTGAAGTCTCGTCCATCGCCTGAAACTAGCCTGCCGGAAACGCCGGGACCCGCGACACAGCTACAGTTCACTCTGCCGCTGCATGGCGTGCCAGACGTACATCGCCGTACATCCCGCCATTTTCGCCACCCCGCGCGCTCCTGACGACCAACTCCCGGCCGCTTGAGGACTCCCGTGCACTTGTCTTCTCCTGACGAAGCCTTCACTTTTTTCGGAAGCCAATCCGAAGACTCCGTCCAAACACCCAAAAATCACGAAAGCTCTAGCAAACATACCCGAAAAACACTGCGAAAGCGTCGCCATCTCTTCGACGTGAAATAATTCCGTCTACGCCCAGGGAAGGGGAGGACTGGCTAATCCCAGCTGTCCATCGGACAGGATCTGACGGCATCGGCAACGTCCGCGCAATTAATCTCCGCGACAACCGCTCGCTATCAGCATCCTTCCGCCCCATTCCCCGATAGGGTCTGCTCCCCTACTGGAAGCCTGATGGGCAGGAACGTAGCACTGATACCAGCTGTTATGAATTATAACTCAAGGGTATAGCGCAGAATACTATAGGGGAACGTGATTACAGAATGACGATAGAAATTAGGCCTATGGCTTATATATAGGGTGAGTTGACCAGGTTGAATGTCGAGGGTTGGACCAGTCAAGGGCTCGATAGTCCCGAGGGTGACGTGGTCAAAATGGGTTCGAGGTGACTCGGGATAAGGTTGGGGCCGAAAAGGTCGACGGGGGCTGGTTTGGCGCGAGAACCAAGGGCCGAGCCTGCGGACCCGAGAGGTTCGCGTGTACTCGCTGTGGCAAGCCCGAGTAAGGAATCGTAATTCCTTATATGAAGATTGTGAGCTGAGAGGTGATAGTTTGCACGAGAACGAAACGGCACTTTGACACGCCTTGCGAAAACTGTGCGACAAGCACTTTTCGGAACCGTCGCCGCATCCGACACGGAGGCTGACCATGCACAGTACAGAACAGACAGGGGCCCTACATTCTGGGGAAGGGCACATTCGCCCCTGGCGTACGGGTCCAAACGATTGGTGCAATTTCCAACATTCCTGGAGATTGCGTTAATGGAATATGATTTGTACTGTCCTCCTCATAAGCGAGCACACCACAAACCAGCAGATAAGGGTTCCTGGTATAGTTGTGCTGACGAGTAGCTCACTCCTTTTGCGCCTCTAGAAGTACATCATCGATACAGACGATCACAGAAGGACCTGATCGCCACGGAGGCTTTGCGTATGGAGCTCGCATGTAAGCTAATGACGCCATTCGCGATGCGACAGAGTTGGAGTACATTCGAGTTGGGAACCACGAGGGATAGGAATACGAGTTTCCACATAGACGAATGCTAGTTCTTCTGGCCGAATCCGATTATTTCACAAACTGCTTGCGAATGTCCGAGGACTTTGTCTAGAAATGACCATCGGAACTTCATATCTGGTTGCACTTAACACACGAACTTGGTCTTGCGGTTCTTGCACTTGCGTAAAGGCTGAGTGAGTCAGGAAGATTGTTTTGCCTCGTCACTCTCCTTCGCCTTCCATGTCTCGTTTAAACCTGTTCAAATAGTCTGGCTTCAAGTCGAATATCCGAGTTTTTTCGTTTAAGACTCGATTTGACTCGCCGAAACTTGTAGACCGATTCTGAATCGAGTTCCTGTCGAGTTCCCAACCTTAGCCGCATGTTTTTCTTCACGCGTGTTGAAGCGCCAAATAGGCAAGCTCGCCACCAGGTTTTCGCGCTCCCAAGATATCTTAGCTTTCCCACAAGATTCCTCGTACGAGCAGCACTTTAATCTCTCGGCTGATGCTATTGTACGAGCAGCTAGTTGTCAAATCCCCCTTCCCCTCGGATCCCCCTTTGAATTCCCTTTTAATTCCCTCTGAATCTCCTTCAGATCGCCTCTAATCCCCTTCTATCTTCCTTCAAATGCCCCTCAAATTCTTCGTCGAATCTTTTGTCAAGTCCGAGTCTAGTGAGTCGAGTCCAACCGATTCTTGGGCCCCAGGCCACCCTTAACTTGAGGGTTCTGGACTTGGACTCGTTGAACAGGTCTAGTCTCGTTGCATATCAACCAGATTGCACCCATAAGCTCCCCCCTCCCCGTTCTTTATTTCAGCTCGAATCCCGACCACATCTGATTCGATTGAAGATTTTCTCGATCCTGGGGGTCATACTTATTCTTGGATTTGAGGATTCGGATTAGTTAGTCATTCCCAGTTTCCCCTCTCGCCAGTCGTCTCTTATCCCACTGTCCGGTTTCCCCCTTCCCAATGCATCCGCTTTTCCATTTCTTTCTCCCTTTTCCTACCCGTTTTCCCCCTCTCCTTCAGCTTTCTCTCAAGCATAAGTGCTCTCAAGGGTCTGGACGACAGTCACTGTCGTTTTCCTCGCGGAGCACAATGGACAGAGATCTACCAGAAAAGCGAGTTACGCGAGCTAGGTAAAATAACGCTTTGCCTCTTTCCACCTTAGCACTCTGCCCATTGCCCTTGCCATCTTATTTCCTTATTGTTTGCCCCACCTTCGCTCACATGTTCATTTTTCTCACTAAATCTCGTTCGTACCATCAATCCCCCCCCTCCCCCCCCCAAAACCCCTATTCCCCCGCTGGTAGCAGCTCGAAACGTGCTGCTGCAAGTTGCAGTCAGAATCTCGCTCCTCCTGGTGGCGACGTTGGACCCAATCTTGCGAGTCCTACGGACATGCGCAACAACTCCGAGCGGGTAGAACGGTCTTGTTCAAACGTGAGTTATGGGAATGGATGACATCGTTCTTGAGAGGAAGAGCAAACACGCTCTGCATGCAGCATGAGCATTGTGTCATGGTGCATGTTATTCACCTCTTCACAAGCGCCGCTGCTAGATTTCTGTAACCTTTGTGCTGTTGGTGCTGTCATTGCAGAAATATGGCAGGAACGTGTTCTTCCTAGATGGAAAGCAAAGGGTGGTTGAGTTTACAGTGTCCACAACAGTTGGTGACGTTCTAAATGTAAGTAAGACTACGAATTTGAGTTTGATGTGTTGCTTGAAGTGCACATGCGATGGTGAAACACGGAAGCTCTGCCACCTTAATTCTCTCATAAAAATGTGTTCTTGTTGATTGTGTTTGGCGCAGGGTGTGGCCAGCACTGTCAGCGTGGAGAAGTTTCCAACCTTGGCGCTGTATCTACAGAGGTACCGCGCCCCCGATGCGCGCGATGCACTTTCAACAAGTGAGTTATTTGCATGGTGGTGAGCAGTGGGTATACCACGTATGACTCATGCGCACACCTCAGGCATGAGACACTAAACACATATCCACAAACCCCATGAACAAGAAAAAGCGAGTGCAATCGCCATGACGTTCACCTATTTACCAGTCACCTGACTTCCAACCATACTCACTAATGATTTCAGCAAGTCTAAGTGAAGTGAATGTCACCCGTTTTCTATTGAACAGGTGATTATGTGAGGATTGATGAGAAGACCTTGATGGCGGATGTGGTGACGGACGTGGCAGGCGTTAGGCAGAGGAGCAATGGACGAGTGCGGGCAAGACTATTATTTCACCAGAAATTCTCTGGAGTAACCGATGGGACTATGACCGATTTCGTCTTCCTTTATCTCACATACACCCATGTAAGTAAAATTTCCCGATGCCGAATGCAATGATGCAATCCCGTGGTTAAACGAGGTTCTTCATCTTCACGCTTCCCCCCCATGTAGCTTCTTGCTAGTTTGTCCAAATCTATGTTGGAAAATACGCGTACTGCGTTTTATACGCTAGCGTATATACGCTTGCGTATATACGCTATACGCTTGGATTTGGGGTCCAATACGGCAGGAATACGCATGCCCGGGCAGGAAAAAAGGTTTGCCCGGGCAGGGTAACAAAACCAGGGGGCAGCAAGGAAGCCATGATGGTAGCGGCTAGGCTAGGGTTTCTGAAAACGTGACTCTCAAATGAGAGGCATTTTCTGAGGGGTCGAATTTTGACCTGCCAATTCCCTCCCTTTCACCGCACTCAACCCCCCCGTCTACAAAGTCAAATTGGCTTCCAGCCAACCAACTCCCTCCCTTTCACCGCACTGAACTCCCACCCATCTACAAACTCCAACCTTTCCTCACAAATGCTCGACTCTCCCCCCCATCATCTCCCCCATCACTTTGGTAGAAGACTAACAAGCACCGTAACTCGCGCAATCGCCGCCACCTAGCTAAGCACACCACCGTTTCGCTTCAGAGCTGAGATTTGGACGGAAATGGGGAACGGCAAACACGGGATGGCTTTCAATCACGTACAGAGCAGGCTGGGCTATGGGCAAAAAAGAATGGGCGAAAAAACCGCGACGTCGCGAAGTCGCGGAAAAAAAAAATATAAGTTTTTTTTTTCGCCGGGCAGCCCGGGTATCGCGTATCGCGTATTCCAAGCGTATCAGCGTATTGCGTATATTCGCAAGCGTATATACGCAATACGCAAAGCCTTCTGTGCGTATATTCCAACATAGGTCCAAATCTAGGAGAAGCTCATGGCGTTGCTCATATGTTCCCGTCATTCCCACCAATCCCCTGCATTCTGCCCCATCCCCCCACCCCCAATTTCTTCCCACCTCCCCCACCTCGCCCTCTTCTCCCGCTCCTCCTTCCCTCGCCCCGTTTTCCACCCTGGGCAGATGGAGCAATTGCGGCAGCAAGCGTTTGTTGGGAGGGACGAGTTGATGGGGGTGGTGCAGCAGACCTGGAAGGTGGAGGAGCGATTGCAGGCGGCGGTGAAGGAGAAGGAAGCGCTGCTGGAGCGATCCAAGGAGGAAACCGCGAGAGTGCAGAGTGAGGTGAGTGCTGTCGCTTTCGCTAGCTAGCTATCAGGAGCGATGGCAGTCAGGGCTGCAGGCAAGGCAGTCAGGTCTGGAGGTAGGGCAGTAAAATTTTCCCGTCAGGTCTGCAGGTATTCAGAGTGGTAGGGGGTGCAACCGAAAGTGCACGGAATACAATTGTGTTAATACCTGAGGCGTGCACACTGGAAAGGGCAGCTGACCACTACTGCTAGCAAAACATGATATGAGCCCGTGTCTCCCCTTCCCCGCCCCCCTCCTTTCTCTTCTCCCTCTCCTTCCCTCTCCTTCCCCCGTTGTCGCCCGTTTCTCCGCCCTTGGCAGCTGAAGGCATTGCAGGAGAGTACGGCTGCAGAGAGGAGTGCGCTGGAGGCCAAGGTGCGGCAGGAGGAGGAGTTGAGGAAGACGGAGACTCAGGTCGCGGCGAGCGAGAGGCAGGCATGGGAGGCGAGGCTTGGGGACCTCGAGCATGCCAAGGCGGAGGAGGTAGGATGCTTGAACCTGCTCGGCTAGGGCTGCAGGGTATGCCGGCAGGGTTGCAGTAATGCAATTAGGGCTGCAGGGTATGCAATCTGGTCTGCAGGTAAGGCAGTCAGATCTGGTAAGGCAATCAGGTCTTCAGGTTAGGCGCCTACGATTGCCAGCTAAAACGTATGAGCGTAAGACGTCCCTTCTCCACCCCCTCCTCCTCCCTCTCCTCCCTTTCCCCTCTCTCCTCCCTCCTTTGTTGCCCTTTTTGCTCCCCGTGGCAGGTAGAGCAGCTGCAGCGGCGTGCTGGTGCGGAGATGCGTGGGCAGGCAGATGCGCTGGAGCAGAGCCAGCAGGTGGTGGCGCAACTGCAGGAGCAGGTGCGGCAGAGTGAGGGGCTGCTGGAGCGCTCCTCAGAGCAGACCTCCGAGGCGCGCAGTGCGGTGAGTGCAGCCTCTGACGTGACCTTGACCATGCTGCTAGCTATTGCACTCAATGGAGATGCACCCGATGTGCATCCGAGGGAATGCAGTTAAAGGAGTCCAGTTTAGGAAATGCGTCTGAGGCTGCAAAGGTTACAGCGAAGGCTGTGAGGGGGTTGAAGGAATGCAGTTAAAGGAATTCAGTTTAAGGAACCCCCCCTAGCAGGGGTAACCTGGGAAGGCGACTCGGAGGGAGAAGATTTGGTCGAATCCCCTGCCCGAGGCGCGAATATGACAGCACATTCCACGCGACTGGCCGCCCCATCCAATACCCGCCGCGGTCCAGCAGGTTCCTGCGGCTGCTGCCCCTGGCTCGACTCTCATACGGCAGGCCCTCATCACACCTCCTGGACCCCGCCTACGTCACCCCATCTCTCAGCAGCGAACGAGGGGTGCGGCAGAGAGACCCCCTGGGTCCCCTACTATTCAGCATGGCCATACACCCGGCCTTGAAGCAGACGGCGGAGGAGTACCCGCTTGCATATGTGGACGACGTCACCTTCACTGAGACGCCGTCCGAGAGCGCTGCTGCCTTCTACGCCTTCAGCCGCCGCATTGCAGCAGCAGGCCTCCAATGCAACCCCACGAAATGTGGGGCCTGGTCAGCAGTAGAGGCGGACCCTGAGCACATCCCAGCGGGGGTACCGATCCAAGCAGACGCTGTGCGCATCCTCGGCAGCCCCATCAGGACGCCGTCAGGGTGCGAGCGCCTGATGAAGGCCGCTTTGCTCAAAGCAGCCTCAGCGCTTCCGCTTCTTGAACAGCTCCAGCCGCAGTTCATGATGCTGCTACTCAACAAATGCGTCACGCGGCGAGCCTTCTACTTGCTCCGCACGACGCCGCCAGGCACGCTCCCGCCCCAGGACTGGACAGCATGGGGCAAACGTCTCCTGGCTGCCGCCCTGACTGCCTGCGACCTGAAGCAGCCACACGCACCAGAAGACCAGGCTGCGCAGGTCACACCAAGGCTGCAAGGGATGCAGTCATGGGAATGCAGCCAAGGATCCAGAGGAACCAGTCAATGTGGCAGCAATTGCGTGCAGTCACGTCTAGACCCAGTGTGGTGGACAGCAGTCCACTGGTGTTAGCTTGAACTCCCCCTCCCTCTCCTTGCAACGTCCCTCTCCTCCCTCTCGTCCCTCTCGTGTCGCCCCTTTTTCCACCCTTGGCAGGTGGAGCGTTCGGCTGCGGAGTCGCGTCGGCTGGCTGAGGCACTGAAGCAGAGCCAGCTGGTGGTGGCGCAACTGGATGCGCAGTTGAAGATGAAGGATGCGCATCTAGAGCAGCAGGTGCGGCAGATTGAGGCGCGCAGTGAGGTGAGTGCAGCCACTGACGTGACTTTGACCGTTTTCCGAAATATGTGAGCCCTCTCTTCCCCCCTCCATCCCTCATCCCCCTTTTCCCACCCCCCTTCCTTTGTGTCGTAACAGTGCTCCTACCCCGTGCCCGCTCTTACCCATTCAGCTCAAGGAGGTTCGGGATGAGCTGAGCAAGATGCACAGAAACATTCCATGCTTATCCATGCTTGCCCATTTCTATATAACCTACTGTTCCCCGTCACCATCCCATCCCCAGACAAGGGCATGGGAGCAAGAGAGGAGCGAGGCAGCGGCAGAAATAGCAAGGGCAGTCAGCAGAGCACTGGTGGAGAAGGTGGGAGATGTTGAGGCACAGCACGGCGCCCTCGAGAGCGCCCTCGCTGCCAAGGAGGCTGTCTGGGCCGATGATCGGAGGGCGTTTCTTGAGTCCATTGAGCGCCTGCAGCGCCAGGAGGTGGAGGCGAAGCATCTCCAGGGGCAGGCGGAGGCTGGGCAGGAGCAGGCGCTGCAGGAACGCTCCAGGGTGCAGAGCGAGGTGAGATTTTCACCCTTGCGATGTAGAGTGCTCGAGGGAGAGGCCCCCTGAGTTGCAGGCTGGGGGGATGTTGTCACGCGTTCAAATAGTGCAGCTGAAGAAACATGAGGCCCCCTTTCCCCGCCTCTCTCCTGCCTCTCGTCCCACCCTTGTTGTCCGTTTCTCCTCGCTTGGCAGATGGAGGAGGTGCGGCGACAGGTGGAGGAGAGGGAGAAGGCGGAGGCAGGGCTGCAGGAGGCACTGAAGGAGAAGGAGCAGCAGTTGGAGCGGTCGGTGGAGGAGGCTTCAAGAGTGCGCAGTGAGGTGAGTGCACAAGCCTTGATGTGCGATTGGCCTCCCCTGTTAGCTGCTGCGCTCGATGAAGAGCAGCAGCAGCAGCAGCATGTGGTCACGTGCTCCCACCATCCAACCATTTACCCGCATTTTGACCCGTCTTCCGACCCTGCACCCTTCCACCTTCCATCCCCCCACCTCCCCCACTTCCATGCTACTCCTTGTCCCTCTCTTCTCTCTCCTTCCTTTGTCCCCGCCTTGTCCACTCTGGGCAGGTGGAGCGGCTGCAGCAGCAGGCGTCTGCCAGTGGGAACTATTTAATGGAGGTGGTGCAGCAGAGCTGGGAGGTGGAGGAGCGGTTGCAGGCGGCGGTGAGGGAGAAGGAAGTGCTCCAGAATCGCTCCCAGGAGGACACCGCCAGGGCGCAGAGTGAGGTGAGTGTGCTATCCACTTCTTCTAGCTAGAGTGTAGAGGCCTCTGGGTTGCGTAAAGGCTGCAGGCAATCTATGTCCCCCTTTCCCCCTTCCCTTCGTCCCCTCGCTCCTCCATTTCCTCCCTCTCATGCCTCTGCTCCTGCCCCGCCCTCGTTTGCCGCCCCTTTCTCCAACGTTGGCAGAGGCAGGGGCTGCGGCAGCACGCGGACGCGCTTACTACGAGGGTGGAGGAGAGCCGCAGGGTCGAGGCTCAGCTGAGGCAGGAGTTGGCGAACGAGAAGCAGCTGAGGGGAGGGGCGGAGGAGAGGGAGGCGCAGCTGAAGGGTGCGGTGGAGAAGGAGGCGGTGCTGAGGAGAGAGGCGGAGGAGAGGGAGACGCAGCTGAAGGGTGCGGTGGAGAAGGAGGCGGTGCTGAGGAGAGAGGCGGAGGAGAGGGAGACGCAGCTGAAGGGTGCAGTGGAGAAGGAGATGGTGCTGAGAAGAGAGGCGGAGGAGAGGGAGACGACACTACAGGAGGAGTTGAGTGGGAAGGAGGTGCAGCTAAGGTCAGAGGTGGAAGGGAAGGCGGTGCTGCTGGCGGCGGCTTCCGCGGCGCAGCGTGAAGTGAGTTTTCAATTCGCTCTTTCTACCTAAGGATATACGAGCACCAGCGTCCCCCATCGACCCCCTGTCCCTCGGCTCCCCTCCCCTTGTCCCACCCCCTTTTCTTTTAAGTCTCAACATTGCTCTTCCCACTTGCCGACTTCTACCCATTCAGCTCGAGGAGCTTCGGGAGAAGCTGAGCAAGTTGCAGAGGGAAGCGCTGGAGCGGACGCGTGCAGCTGAGGAAGCGGGGCAGAAGTGGGAGGTGAAGCGCCTTGAAGTCGAGCTAGAGAATGTTAGAAAGGTGGAATCCCTCTCTTCCTTGATTGGAATATCTCCTTTACCTGCCCACATGCTTGGTTATTGAAACGAGACATGTGAGTCAAAACTCGGTGGTCGGGGAACAATATATTTCAAGCTGCCTGGTGGGTGAGAGGGGGTGAGAGGGGGAGATAAGGGGTTGAGAGCACACTTTTAAGGCGCCTAAGTAACAGAAGGAACTACGCTGTGTGAGTCAAAACTCAGTCACTGCCTTGGCCAATGGCCATGCCTTGCTTCCCTGATTGTGTTCCTTGCTTGCTTCCCAGTTAAGCACCTCAGGCCCAGTGCTGTTGTTTTCATGCTCTTATGCGTTTATTTCCCCGCTCTTCGTTAATTTCCTCGGTAGTATGTATGTATGACCTCCCTCTTTCCCTTGCCTTTTCCTTGTGTCTCATCCTTCTTCCTTGACCCGGTTGACACATTCAGCTCGATGAGGTTCAGAAGGAGCTGAGCAACACGCGGAGGGAGCTGAGCAACGCACGGGGTGAAGCACTTGAGCAAGCAGGGGCAGCTGGGAAAGAGAAGGAAGCGTTGCTGGAGGAGCTTTGGGGTCTCAGGCTCAAAATGAAAAGCAAGGTAAGATGCCTGGATTTCTTGGTGTCCTTACTTACCTCACCGGCACACAAGCTTCCGTGTGCTAGGCTCGGTCTGCTATCGTTTTCATGCTCTTCTGATACTTATTTCTCTGTGTGCACCCGTTGGCGCTATGCGACTCGTGTTGGAACATGTGTCTCATTCGCTTGGTGTTGTGTACACAGACTGCCAGGTGTGCTGGCTGATGCGAGCTACTTTACATATCAACGCCCTACCTTTTCCCTGACTTCTCCCTCCCACCCCAGGAGTTGGCGGTGGCGAAAGAAACGGCTGAAGCGAGGGCAGCAGAAGGAATGGCAGCAGGGGCTGTGGTGGCAAGCCTCGAAAGGGCGGTGAAGGAGGCAGAACGGTTGGAAGTGGAGTTAAAGGCCTCCAAGAGTTTAGCTGCACAGGTATGTGCCAAAACTGTTTCTTTGCAAACAGGAATTCGCTGCCCATTCTTTTGGTCCCGTGTGCTTCTCACCATGCATTCTCATTTTCCACTTGGGCACCCTTATAATCCATAACTTTGCCACTTTCAGTACAAGGCAGACAAGGAGGAATTGGAGCGGGTGTTACAGCAAGAGAGAGCATCAGCAGCCAAAGCGGAGGAGCTTAGAGGCCAGCTGAGGGAGGCAACATGTTCCGCAGAAGCTCTGGCAACCCGTGGAATGGCAGAGGCAACGCTGAGGGAGGAGTTAGAGGAGAAGGAGGCGGATCTACAGAAGTTTCGCAAGCAAGTGGAGGAGTTGCGTGCATCGGAGAAGGTCAGTCAATGCTTTTGGGAGAAGCACATTGGAATGCCTGCTGCCTTATTGTTTTAATCCCGCTATCTTCGTCTTAAGCCTAAATTGCACTTCTCTTCTCATTGTGTATGTATTATTCAGCGGCTCGACGTTAAGGTCAAGGACCTGGAGAAGCAGTACAACGAAGAGGTTTCGAAGCGGAGGAAGCTCCAAGGTGAGTGGTCCTCATTGCTGTAGGTTTTCTTAAGTATTTTTCTGAATGAGCATTTGATTAACAAAGAAGTGCATTTGGCCCTTGAGTGGGGTTCTTGACGTGGTCCTTTCATGTTTCATCTTTCTCTCTGTAATCTGCCATCCTTCACCCCTCTTTTGGCCCCTTCTTCCCCCCATGGCTGCAGACTCAATGGGGAGCATTCGCGGAATTGTACGGTGCCGCCCGCTGAGTGCTGAGGAGGAGAGTACTGGGCACATGCCGGTAGTCACGTGCTCGGATAAGTTCACAGTGGAGCACTCGGGGAAAGATGGAGAGCTAAACAGCCATCCCTTTTACCGCGTATATGATCCAACCGCCACCCAAGCCAACGTTTTCGAGAGCGTTGAGGTACGAGTTTTTCTTACCCATTTTAGCCGTTTGTTTTGCCATCCTCTTCTTCTTGAATTAACGCTCAACCTTCCTCGTGCTTTCCCTGCCCCCCTGTCGCCCCCAGGACCTTGTGGAAGCATCGCTGGACGGATTCAACGCCTGCATCCTCGCGTATGGACAGACTGGGAGCGGCAAGACCTACACCATGTGTGGGAATGAGGCACAGCCCGGCCTCATTCCACTTGCTGTTCGCAAGATCTTCAACAGTCGTGATAAGAGCCCTGCCCATGTGACCATCGAGGTGCAGGTAAGCCAATTTGTGCTTAGAATCTCGTTCCGGAAAGAAAAGTCCAAGCCGGTCATTGACCCATGTGTTCTTCTCTCGCCTCCTGTTTTTCTCTCGCCTCCTCTTTTCCGCACCTCCCGTTTTCCTCACCTGTTATTCCCCACCTCTTATTCCCCACCTCTTATTCCCCACCTGTTATTCCCCACCTCTTATTCCTCACCTGTTATTCCCCACCTCTTATTCCTCACCTGTTATTCCCCACCTCTTCTTTTGGACCTCCTGTTTACCCCCACATCCAGGTTCCCCCACCTTTTTTTCTCCCACCTCCGGTTTTTCCTCACCTCTTGTTTTCCTCCTCCTGTTTTTCTCTCACCTCCTATTTTTTACCTGCCTACCCTCCCAACTCCCCCCCCCTCCCCCTCCCCCTCCCCTTTCCCCTGTTTCCTTTACCTCCTGTTTTCCTCGGCCTCTGTTGTCCAGCACCCCCTATTTTTCCGTACACCACCCCCCTACTGTGCAGGTGTTCATTCGGGAAGTTGAAGAGCACGCCTTGCAGAAGCTTCATGCAGTCCATTTTGCTGGCAGGCTTTTCATATCGCTTCTTTCCTCCCCATATGCCCACACATGCAGGTATGTATGCTGGAGCTCTACCTCAAGGATGTGCTCGACCTGCTGGACCCCAAGGACCCCAAGAACCCAGCGGGCATCAGTGTGACCGGAAAGGTGTGTGGAGAGCATTAACCTCCTGCATCACTAACCCACCACCTGTCGTGTTTTCTCGCCCGTGCTGTTGTGCGTTCACATGTCTGAGTTGTTCCATTTCCCACTCTCTGCACTCTCCAGAGGCAGGTGAATCTGAAAAACGTCACTCTATTTCCAGTGGAAAGCGCGTCAAGGCTGGAGCAGTTGATTCAAGAGGGAATTGGGAGGCGGCAAGTGGACGGAACGGAAATGAATGCCGCAAGCTCGCGCTCGCACATGCTACTAAGCATTGTTATTAAAACCTACAACAATTTAACGAAGAGGACCCACACGGGGAAGGTAAGAACGAAAAGGCGAGAGGAGGAGCAGCAGCAAGTGACAGTGAAAGCGGGAGAGAGATTACAAAGGGGGCAGGAGAGGAGGGCAAGAGGGCTGGAGCGAGGTAGATGGAGAGAGAAGCAAGAGGGGGAGGGGAGGGAGGGCCGAAGGGAGAGAAAGCAAGTGAGAGAGCTTGAGGAAGCATAACATGTTTCTTCTCGCCACCCCTTCGCTCAATTGGTCCTTGTATTAGATAGGGGAAGTACAGGCAAAGCAGCAAGTGTATTACAGTGAGCTCTACCCTCCCCTTTCCTCCCTTCTGTCCTCCCTGTCCTGTTTCAGCTCTCTTTTGTGGACCTCGCCGGGTCCGAAAGTCTCAAGGCGTCGGGAGCACAGGGGAAGCTGGTAACGGAGACCACACACATCAACTCGGGGCTGTCGTTCCTGAATCTAGTCATTCTGGCGCTGAAGAACGGATACAGCCACATCCCCTACGGCAACGACAATCTCACAAGGGTGTTGGCAGATTCTTTGGGCGGAAACTCAAAGACGCTGATGATTGTCAACATTTCACCATCCAACAAATACCTTGAGGAGACAGAGAAGTCGCTAAGGTAGGCAGGGAGGCAGGGAGGCAGGGAGGTAGGGAGTGAGGGAGTGAGGGAGGGAGGGAGGGATGGAGGTAGGGCGGGGAGGAGGGAGAGAGGGAGGTAGTTAAGGGGTGGTGGTGGAGGGCAGGGAGGGAGGGAGATAGGGAGGGGACGAAGGAGACAGGCAGAGGTAGGGAGGGAGGGAGTCAAGGAGGGGGGGAGGGAGACGACATGTCCCCAAATCTCTTTCGCTCTCTTAACTTCCCGTCGTTCCCACGGTAATCCTTGTGTGCAGTTATGGCGTTCTTGCGCAATGCATCATCAATACGGCAAGCAGGAACGTGGGAGCCACAAAGAAGTGACTTTGCTAAGACAGTTCGAGGCAGGTTGGGCTCCATGTACATATACCCACCACACCCTCTTCAGTGTACAGATAGTAGACTAGTTAGTATGTGCCAGGGAGAAATCAATAATTATATCTGCTGATTGAGTGGTACACTTAGTTATAAAATAACCAAGGTTGGCAGTCGCTGATCATATCATAAAGCATGCTGACCTGGCACATGGGAATGTTTTCTGGATGTATTGGTCCCTTTCTCTTCACCTTGCTACATACTCCAGAGATATAAGGCATTGCGAGCGTAGGTGGCACCATGAAAAGCATGACCCATCGCGTTAGAAGCAAGTCACTACGGGCTCAACAGCACCATGGAGACAAGACGACCCCAGCCTGCCACAGTGACCTACAGTACAGTCAAGAAGGTGGGCTTCCGCTGGTCGGGCCAGGAGAGAGAGTTCTATTCTATACGCTCTAATCACTTTCCTACATTCCCAGCACTTGAGCCCAGATAATCAGCACAATGCAGAGGGAGATAATATATCTCCATGTACATGTGTTTTAGCCCATGTGGTCCATGTCAACTGCATCATTGGTAGGCTCCCCAACACACATGCTCAAACTCGTTGTCGTCTGCACACAGACAGACAGACGGGAAGAGGCACGCATGCACAGGCAGGCGGAGAGCAGGCTAGACAAGGCAAGAAAAGTGAAAGGGTCTTGATGATCCAAGCAAGCCCATCAGTTCTATTGTTTGGGTATGTGCGGCAAGTGCAGGCATGCACACATGCATTGGGGCATCAATGAGACGAGCAGATTGATCCACGTGGTTGGATAACACAGCAGCGTTCGTGTGATGTGGATGGCATGGGAGCTTCTTGCCTTACCGATCACACGGCCTTACTTCTCACCAACGTGGTGCAGCTACAAATACCAGTCAACCACCTTGCTCTTCTTGCCTTACCTTTGCATGTCCCCCTTACTTTCTGCTCCGCCAGTAGCCGCAGTAGTAGCCAGGCTCTGAAGTGGTTGCTGCTGGTAGCTGGAGATGGGGGCGGGAGATGGGTCTAGATGGTGCTGAGAGGAAAAGGGGATGATGAGGAGGGGGGGGGGGAAGAGGGGAAAAGGAGAGAGGTGTGTGCAGCAGGAGTTTGGAGGAAGGAGGTTGTAGCGAGGTTGTTCTTTTGTGCACCCTTGGGCAGGCGAATGGAACCCGAGTTGGAGCAAATGGGGAAGCGAAGGTCAGGGCACAATCACAAACGAGGGGAGGCTGGTGGCGTGCAACATGTGTACAAACTCTGACAATGCACAGTGGGCACAGTGGAGGGGGATGTGGGGGGCACTCTGGGCAGGGACGTGGGGCGGATAAGGTCAATCCGAGATAGTAGGGGGGACAGCGGGGAGCAAACGGAGGGGGTTTGAAGGGGGAACACGGAGGGGGCTCCCGAGGCGCAAAAAAAGGCGGACGTACCGTGCAGTGCAGTGGCGAGGGCGGAGGGAACAGGTGGGGGGTATGCAAGGGCGTGGCATGGGAATGCGGAGTGAGGGGGTGGGGGAAAGCAAGGGTCCGGCTGGAGGGAGGAACTGTGTGACGGGGGAGGGGGAGGAGGGAGGGGAAGGGGAGAGGGGAGAGCCTTGGCACGGCGTGGAGGAAACGGAGTGTGACGGGGCGGAGGGAGGGGAAGGCATGGGCGTTCATACAAGAGAACGGAGTTTGATGGTCGGGGGTAAACGGGGGAGAGCGTGTGGGGAAAGCTCATGCAATGGCACAAGGCAAAGCGAGGGTGGGGGCCGAAGCGATGGCATTGGCACGGGCAAACGGAGGGAAAGGGTGGGGGGAGAAGCGATGACATGGTATGGGGAAACGGTGCTCCAGTGTGGGGGGAGTGTGCGGCCACGGCAGGGGCTTCCTGCCGTGTGAGGAGGGGAGGGGAGGGGGGGAGAGGGGGGGGGGTGGAAGGGAGGGAAAGCGAGGCACGGCATGGGCTAGCCGAGTGTGAGGGTGGGGGGGGAAGCGAAGGCATGGGCACTCGAATAGTTGAGTGTCTAGCCGGCGCGGTTACCCGTAGAGCAGGGCGTGACTGCAGCTGCTTTCCCGCTGGACCCCTGTTTCTTGGCTTTCATGCGTGGTTCGTCTTGGCTGCGTCAAGTCACCTCATGCGTGGGTCGGCTTCATAACCGAATGGCGTGGTGCGTTAGAGCCGCCAGGAGTGCGCTCAGTTCCAGCCGCCTTCGTCGGCCCCGCCACTCGCCCGATAGAGAGAGTACCGAGGACACTTGGTAGTGACGCGCTGCCCCCCCCCCCACCCGACATGAAGCGCCCCTCCCCGCGCCCTCTCCGCCGTGGCGGGTGCTCCCTTACCGCCCGCGCGGCCCCTCAATGGGCGCGGGGCGTTTCTCTTCCGCTCGCCGTGCAGCGCGCCACTGCCGTGGGGCGTTCTGGTGGCGCGTTGCGAGTTTCGTCGCCAGCGAGGGCCCCGTCACGCGCGCTGGTGGCTGGGGGTGTGCTCGGCCCCACACAGCTTCGCACATATATCGCAGTCGCCCAGCGGATTCGTCGCCTAGTGATTCGTCGCCAGCGATTCGTCGCCCAGCGATTCGTCGCCCAGCGATTCGTCGCCCAGCGTCGCAGAACGATGTGGTGTCACGGTTTCTGGAGGTCACGCGATGCTGGCTGACGTGCCACGGGGCGCCGAGCGTGCGGCGAGTTGGCTGCGCGGGGGTGAGGGCGGACTGCCAGCGCGACCAGCTGCTACTGGGTTGCGATGCGATCTCCCATGCACCGACGACGCCGTCGAGTGCGCGAGGCGGTACCGAACAACGAATGGTTTTAAACGCGGAGGGCCGCAGTATCGGTGTGCTGCGTGCCAGACGAACGCAGACAGCAGCCAGGCGGAGTGTGGCCTGCGGACAAAAGCAAGGCGGCGTGTAAAAGGCTAGGGTGGGCAAGGCTGGACAAACGAACCATGGTCTGCGGTGTAGGGGATGGGTGGAACAGAAAACCAGCGCCTGGGGCAGGAGAGTCATACTCGCTATCATGCTGCTCGTGGTGGTTCAGAGTGTTTCCGCAAATCTGTGGATAACGGAAATTGGAATGTTCTAAAGAAGCAAATGATTCAAACCAACGAAATGCCGTGGTAACGAACAGTAATTTATGAAATAGTAGCAAGAAAACCTAAAGCTACTGAAAACACCCCATAAGCCACAACATGCTGCCAATAGCAGAGGAAGGAGACGTGCAGACGCCAACACTCCTTGGTTGAGGCGTCATGGCAGCCGCAGAAGAGGGGGAAGTTCAGTTGCAAAGGTCTCTCAATGAATGTGTCATGTCACGTCACGGCATCACGATTCACAATCTGGTTCGTCAGCGCCTCCCCTTCGCTTCTTGGCAGCCGCAGAAGAGGGGGACGTTCAGTTGCAAAGGTCTCTCAATGAATGTGTCATGTCACGTCACGGCATCACGATTCACAATCTGGTTCGTCAGCGCCTCCCCTTCGCTTCTGACGAGGTGCTCCTTCCAGCAGCATGCTTGACCTTGGCAGGGAAGAGGGAGGTGCAGCAAGAAAACGAGAAGACGGGATGAAGACGGGATGGGTGGAGAAAGAGGGAAGGAGGGGAAGGAGGAGGGATGATTAGGGTGTTAAAAAAGTAGTTAAGAAGGCTAGGCTAGGAAGCCATGAGAGGGCGAGAGGTTTTAGCTAGGGAGAAGTTACGAGAGGAAAGAGAATTGGACTAGAAGAGAAAGAGAAACAAGAAGGGGGGGGTGTTCTCTCTACAGTAGGATCCAGCAATGTAGCACATCTGCCAAGCCTAAACAAATATATATATATATATATAATATTATTTGATACACCCCCTAGGCTTAGTATTCGAAAGCCCACCCCACATGCAACACCCCCAAACCCGTGCACCCCCATGCCCTTCAGCAGCTGTGGCATCTACCCCTCGTGCGAAGCGGTGACACCTTTGGCGGGTGGTAGAAAAGGCGTCTGCAGCGGAACGACGACGACAGCGGCGACGGCGGAGCGGGTGGCGCCGGCTACACCTGCGGCGGCGGCAGCGGCGACAACTGCTAAGCTCACGGCATCCAGCGGTGTGGCACGACCCGGCGACGCCCGGGGGGCGTGGCTTTAGCGAGGCGCCCTAGCTAACGCACTGGCTGTTGTGCGGGCGTACCGCAGGCGCCTGAAACATTGCGCGACCCGCTGCCGCCCGTGCGATGACGCGTCGATGACACCACGGCAGCATAACGACGCCGTCACGGCGCGGCGTCGATGCCACTGCAGCACGACGACGCCACCACGGCGTGGCGTCGACGCCACGGCAACGCGTCGAGGCTGCCACGGCAGCACGACGAAGCCGCCATGGCAGCACGACATGGCTGCCACGGCGGCGCGGAAATGACAGGAGGGAGGAGAGTACGCTGCGGAAGCGTGAGGAGAAGGCCCGAGCGGAAGGGCCTGCTCTGAAACCATGTTTAAAAAAGTAGTTAAGAAGGCTAGGCTAGGAAGCCAGGAGAGGGCGAGAGGTTTTTGCTGGGGAGAAGTTACGAGAGGAAAGAGAATTGGACTAGAAGAGAAGGAGATACAAGAACGGGGGGTTGTCCCCTCTACAATAGGATCCAGCAATGTAGCACACCTACCAAGCCTAAACATATATATATATAATATATATTATTTGGCAAAGGGTGCCATCAAGAGGGAAAGGGGAGAGGACTTATGGCAAACCCAGCACGCTGACTGTTTTCCACGCCTAGCCTTTTAGATTCGCCTCCAAATCAATGCACTGCACCACCATCCTCCCATTTCTGAGAGGCATAAGATCAATATTGACCCAACAAACCATAGCCATAACCATCATCTTATCGAGACCATAAAGCGGTAACTCACACGAGTTCTTTCCCTGATTGTAGTGGTCCACGAGGAGCAGCAACACTAACGTGCACACCAACCGTGGTTGTACAGCCAGTAGCGGCAGCAGCAGCAGCTGTGAGTGGTATAGCGAGGAGGAATAAGGGCTGCAGCACAAGAATACGCACGGTTTCAGGCAGGGAGGAGCATGGGTTAAAGCACAGATCACAACATGGGACAAAGCAGGATCATGCATGGATTGAAGTGCAGTGAGGCACATGAGAAGCACGCAGAGATGAAGTGGCCAGCGCACCTGAAGAGGCAGTGGCATGGGGGACAGCTGATGCAACAGCCCGCCGGGCACGAGAGGATGATGCACGAGGAGCAGCAGCAGTGGCTGTGACAAACACAGCAGGAGCGGTGGCAAGAACAGCTGTAGCTACTGCTACAGGTGCTGGGACAGCAAGTGTAGCTGCTGCTGCAAGTGCTGGGACAGCAAGTGTAGCTGCTGCTGCAAGTGCTGGGACAACAGGTGTAGCTGCTGCTGCAGGTGCTGGGATAGCAGGTGTAGATGGACTGTCAGCAACAGTAGAAGCAGGGGGGGCAGGATTGGCTGCAGCTGCTGGCGCACCCATGGCTGATGTGCTAGTTGAATCCTAACCCCGGAAAGGTATGAGGTGGGGGTAGCCAAAGAAAGAAAGAGGGAGAGACATGATAAAGGAAAGGGGGTTCAAGAGTGCAGATAAGGGAACTGATGCATTAAATGGCCAGGTAAATTATTTGTGCAACAAGGGAGTGTTATAAAACTTGAAAAGCATTGAATGCTGTGAAACTCAAAGCATTGCACAACTCTGTCTAGTACTATGTCGGCCATATTGCAACATGGAAACAGCCCCCGCAGGAGCAGGAGAACTCACAGACTGAGAAGACGAATTGATGTCAGATGCCTCGTGGTGATTAGCAATCAGAGTGCCACATATTATTCCCTCCTCCATCCCTTCCTCCACATTGCGCTCCGAGACTACGACCACCGCAAAAACCCGAGAGCAGCTTAGAATCCTACACGCGTGCCCCTACAAAAATCTCCACATGAGTTGTACAACGTTGTGTCATGGGTCAAGCAAGAACCATTTGAGAAAAAGAGAGAGCGGCAGGTAACGGAGGTGGCGGGATTATGCACCTTTTTGCACGTATACTGAAGGGCAAGGGAGGGTTGTCAAAATATATTTTTATATGTTATGGACTAGATAGGTGCTTGCTCATAGAGGGTACAACACCATAGCACAAAACCTCCATGTATGGCCCAATCTAGTTCATTGCGTTATTCTAACATGGTATCACGTTAGGTTAGGTCCCCCTCCCCGCCTTCGCTTCCGCCCCTAGCCCTAGCCCTAGCCTTAGACCGCGCCCTAGCTCCCGCCCCATCACGCCGCGCTGGCCGCGTCACGCCGCGCTGGCCCCGTCCCGCCGCGCCGGCCCCGTCCCGCCGCGACGGCCCCGTCACGTCGCGCTGGCCCCGCTAGACCACGCCCGCCTAGTCACGCCGCGCCGGCCCTGTTACGCCGCGTCGGCTCCGTCACTCCGCACCGGCCCCGTCACGCCGCGCCGGCCCCATCACTCCGTGCAGGCCCCGTCACACCGCGCCGGCCTCGCCATACCGCGCCGCGCCGAGCTGCCGAGCCGCGACGCCACGCCGCCGAGCCGCTGCGCCACCGAGCCGCTGAGCCGCGTCACCACGCCGCCGCGCTGCCGAGCTGCTGCGCTGCCGAGCCGCCAAGTAGCCGAGCCGCTGAGCCGCCGAGCCGCTGAGCTGCCGAGCCGCCGTGCCGCCGTGCCACCGCGCCGCCGAGTAGCCGAGCCGCCGCGTCGCCGAGTTGCCGAGTCGCCGAGCCGTCGTGCTGCTATGCCGCCCCAACCTGCCGGCCCTGGTTCCCCCTTCTGTGCCGGCGCTCCTGACGGCCGTCTCCACCGCTGCTCTCCACTGCCCTCTCCTCCCCCTCCCCTAGCGCCAGTCAGCTGCTGCAGCCATGGCGATGACGGACGCCGTGCTCCGCCTGGACGCGGGGGGTCGGGCGATTGACTTTTAGGCGTGGCTCGCCGACCTCCACCGCTCGCTGAGGGGACAGCGCCAAGATGGCCAATCTCTGGCCGTTCACGTCGACGGTAAGATCCCCTGCCCCGACGCGCCTGCTGCCCTCTTTGACACCCCCACGCGCCTGCTGCCCTCTCTGACACCCCCACGCCCGCTGAGCGTGAGCACTTTGCAACTGCTGAGCTTGCTCGCTCTATCTGGGAGTCGCGTGACGCAGTTGCGCAGCTTGATGTCAGTCGTGCCCTCCCCCTGTCTGAGCGCCCCCGCTACCGGGCCCTAGAGACTACGCAGGCGTACTTAGATGATGTTATTGCACGCTATTCCACTACCTCCTCCGCCGCTGCCAGTCGTCTCCTCCTCCCCCTACTCTTCCCTGACCTTGCGTCTTTTCCCACTGTCGTTGACCTTGCCACTCACATGCGCACACTAGAGGCTAGCTACCGCGTTGCTAACACTGAGGCTCAACTCCTTGTACTGCCTCCCCCCCTCATTGCTACCCTCTACTTCCTTGCAACGCACCTTTATGACCGCCTAGCCACTGCCTGCGACCACTTCCTTGCCCTCCACTCTGCTGACCTCACCCTCACAGACTTTGTCACTACCCTGACCGTGATAGAGACCTGCCATCGCACTATCGCTCTGTCGAACGGTACTGCGGCGGTCCCTATATTCCAGGGCTGTGCTCCCTCCCAATGCACTTACTCTGACGTCTTTGTCACTGTTGCTAAGACGGCCCCTGCTGCTGAGACCGCTGAGGCGGCCTTAGCGCAGTCTCGTCAAAATAGGGGACGCCAGGCCCAAGGGGGGCGTGGCGGGGGTGGCGGAGGTGGCGGAGGTGGTGGAGGGGGCGGTGGTGCAGACGAGGGGACCGGGGCTGGTGCCCCGGAGCAGCAGCAGCAGTAGCCTCAGCAGCAGCAGCAAGCGTCGCAGCAGCAGCAGCAAGCGTCGCAGCAGCAGCACCAGTCGCCGTAGGGACCCCCGCCGCAGTGGTGGATTGGCGGTGCTGGTGATGGTGGGGGGTGCAGCTCGGTGTCAGGTGGCGGCTCCAGTATGGTCACCTACCAGTACCAGCTTCAGTCCGGCCCCCGCCGCGGCACCGGCTGTGACCGCCCCCGTCACACCGCCGCACGCTGCTACCGTCGCCTCGACGACCTCTTCCGTCTCCGCTTCGGCCCCACGGCGAACCTCCCTGATTGGTACAGCTTGGAGCGTCATCGTGTGCCTGTCTTTGAGGTGGACATGGATCAGATTAGGTCTGCTTTGTATGCCATATACTGTATGCTGATGACTCTAGTATGACTGGACCCTATTACCCGGTGTTGCCTAGCATAGGTGTGTCCCCTGTGTGTAGTCTAGGTTCCCCTGCAGCGTCAGGCGTAGGACCCCCTGCCTTGTTTAGCCTAGTCTCCACCCTAGCCCCTCCGCCGGCGAATGCTACCGCTTCGCTCTTGTCTTCTTTGTACTCTTTTGACTGGTCTTCAAACCCTTGCCTCAGAGGTTGGACTAGTAGTGCCACCCTGAGCTGCATGTCTCTTGCTAGGCATTGCCTTTTGTCTAGCCTAGGGGGTGTGTCAATATAGAGGGTACAGCACCATAGCACAAAACCTCCCTGTATGGCACAATCTAGTTCATTGCGTTATTCTAACAGGGGTTGCATGGTAATCCTGGAACAGGAGCCATAATTCAGATAGTCGAAGCCCTCTTTGGTAGTGTCCCAAACCTGCCAGAAATCAGCCAAACTCTCTACGTGCTCAGAAAGAGAGGTTGAAGGCACTGTGGAAAAGGATCTACCTAAGCTTATATTAAAGAGCCCTTGTGGTTATGTCAAATGCGGAATATAGCAATGAGCTGACGAACGCACCTCAGAAGAACAGGATAAGCATGACTCATCGTGTACAAAAGTACACGTAGAGAGTGCTTTTTTCAGCAAAGGAAAGAGGGCACTGTTTTGAGAAAGAGGCGTGAAACCTCACAGGAAAGCCTATCTACGAAAATGACTCTTCTAAACAACTATGATTGCTGCGAACGTTGGACGATCCCCAACACCAGCTCCCATTCACCTCAGCTGCTGACCTTGACACATGTGATTCTTAAGTCGCAAGCACCGAGTACCTAGCCCATGCCTCAGCCCTATGCACCCAAGTCTCTATTCCCTTCTAGGCTCTCCTACTATGCTTTACCCGTTGTTAAGTATAATGTCGAGAGAAGGAGGGAGAGTGGGGGGGGGGGGAGGGGGCGAAGAGGACGACAGAGTAGGGGAGAGAGGGAAATGCGGGAGAGAGCGAGAGAGAGAGAGAGAGAGAGAGAGAGAGAGAGAGAGAGAGAGAGAGAGAGAGAGAGAGAGAGAGAGAGAGAGTGAGAGAGAGAGAGAGAGAGAGAGAGAGAGAGAGAGAGAGAGAGAGAGAGAGAGAGGGGGGGGTCGTTGCACCAACCAACCTTTTCCATGCTGATCAGTGTAACCTCGAGGCGAATATCAACACGAACGGAAACGAAGGTCTTACCTGCCATTTTTAAGTCCGGACGTAGTTCTTGCTCAAGATCCAACCCCCATCCTTCTTTATGTCCGTCCGACTGATAGCTGCACCTGGAGGTAAAGCTACTGCTGAATAAGGAGAAGCCCCTGCCACGGCGACCGATGTGCGGTTGATCGCTCGCACTCTCTTGCTCTGCAGCTGCGACTCGCCACCTTCTTGGTACGCCGGGGCACCAGTGGATTACCTTCGCAAGCGCCTGAAAATCTGTGGTTTTCAACCCCTCGAGCATGCTGTCATATGTTCGGCGTATCACGGCTTGTCCCCATGGAGAGAACCCGCGAGGATTCGCGTTAGCAACAAGAGAGCGTTCGTGCGCGTGGATATCAGCGAGTTCTTCCCGGCAGTGTAGTTGCCACAACGACTCCTTGGCGATGCGGTCGAAAGTCGTTGAGAGGCGCGCCACCGACGCCACGATGCACAGCCCCTTGGGCTCGGCGCAGCGAAGAATGCCAAAGAGAACGTCGGTGGGGAGAGAATCCATGACGGCCCATCGACCCGCGGAGTGACAGGACTCGAGTCACTAAGTGACAGGAATGGAGTACTGAGTGACACGACTGGAGTCACGGAGTGACAGGACTAGAGTCACGGAGTAACAGGAATGGAGTCACGGAGTGACAGGACTGGAGTCACGGAGTGACAGGACTGGAGGCTAGCGACGAATTCGGCGTAGCAAACAGTAAGATCTCGGATCGACGATCAACGATGGTGGGGATGGTTGCTATGGTGCGTTCATCGTTAGGCGGTAAGGTGAAGACTGCTAGATGTCAGCAATGCTAGATGAGAGTAGCGTGTTAGACTACGGGTGACCAGGAAACCGGCGAAGCAGTGCAGAGATTGAGGACGGGTAGGTCCCCTACCAGGTGTGGCGACGTTGGGAATCAATAACGAATTCTTTACCCTGCCGAGCTTTACTGGCGTGGCTCGACCCTCATCGAGGCAATGATGGGTTCGCTACACCATGAGAGGGCTGGTAGTTTCTAAGGCCATAGGAAACATAGTGGTGGGAATTGTTAAAGTGAAAAGTGTAGACTAGAACAAAACATACAAGGGTATATAACCTAATGGGTTGTATTCCCTAAGGCACAACCCCATATAGTCTACAGTAACATACAAAATATGTTTGACACACCCCCTAGACTGGATAGGGGTAGTGCCTGATGAGAGAGAAACAGCTCCAGCCTCTGAGGCAGGGGTCTAAAGACCAGTCAAATAAGTACAGACAAGGCAAGAGCAAGACCAAGGTGGCAATACTAGTCCATCCACTGGGAAGAGGCCACAAGGCCAGTGTGGGTAATATATATAAAGGTTTGTACACAATCAAGGTCCTAGCAGGTGAGAGGCTACAGGAACGAGACCTAGCTGTACACATTACCACTGATGATCTTGAGGCGCAAGCGCCTTAGTAAAGATATCAGCTGTGTTGACACCTGAGGCCAAGTGTACTAGACAAGCCTGGCGACGCTGCTGCAGCTCGCGCAGGAGGAATTATCGCAGCTGGATGTGCTTCACTCTGCCCTCAAGTGACCCCATTCTGGTGCGGGGAGTCCGGCAGGGTGAACGTATGGGTGATGCCCTACTTACGACAGAAGCAACCAAGGCAGCAAGAGGCGAACTCGCCACCACGGTCGGAGTGAAGACCCAAGACAGGGAGACCTCGGTGAACACGCGCAGAGACAAGCCACGGGAGAAGAACGTCAGGCACGTCGGCCTTCCGCTCCAGGGGAAAGACGGTGGTGTAGCGGGTGTAATCGTCGACAAGCACTAGGAAGTAGCGCTCGCGACGCGGCCCATGGACGGGGGCGGGGCCCGAGACGTCCATGTGCAGGGTCTGCAGCGGTGCGGAGGTAGGGGGGAACGAGGAGGAGTGAGGGGCACGACCCTCGACGCACGGCGTGTACGGAAGCGCGGGTGAGGAGGGGAGCGCAGGGAACAACTCAGGGAGGCCTAGGATAAGACGGTGCTGGGACATGTGACGGAGACGGGTGAGGGCGTGGTGACCTAGACGATGGTGCCACAGAAGTGACGGGTGAGTAAGCGACCGACACGAGCACGCCGCAGCAACCTGGGAAGACGCTGGTACCTGGGGAGGCGTCCCAACCGGGGGGGAAGCGGTGTCCAGCGTGAACAGGCCAGAGACCGGGTCTTGGGGGAAAGTGGTGAGGGGGGCACCAGTGGCGGCCTCAGTACAGACAGCGTACCGCTTGTGCCCAGGGAACGTAGTGGTGACGCCAAGGTCCTGGAGGCAGCTGACACCAACTAGGTTCCTAGAGAACGAGGGCATGTGCAGGCATGTAAGGGAGCTTGAGGGAACCGCCGAACAGGGGAGAGTGGTGGAGCTACGGGCAACTACAGGACCGGAGGAAGGGTCTGCAAGGGCAACTGCAGCAGGTGCGGCAAGCAGCGTAAGTGTAGTGGAGTCGCGAAAGAAACACCGGGAAGCATGGGAGTCCAGGGTGAAGGAGAGTGCGGCAGCGGCGACAGAGGTCGGAGGAGCGAGGGAGGACCCTAGGCTAAACAAGGCAGGGGATCCTATGCCTGATGCAGCAGGGGAGCTCTGGGCGGGGTGGAATAGCGCGCATCAACAGCCTCTAGGAACTCCTGCGCAGTCCTGACTGACCTAAAGCGGGGGCGCTCGGACAGGGGACGTGCATGACTAATCACAAGCTGTGCTGCAGCGTCACGCGACAACCAGATAGCACGAGCAAGGGCAGCAGCTGCAGCGGACTCACGGTCTGCAGATGTGGGGTCAGCGGGGAGGGCAGCAGGGGGGTCCAGGCAGGGGAGCGTACCGTCGATGTGGACGGCCAGGGAGTGGTCGTCCTGCTGCTGACCAGTCACGTGGTGCTGGAGGTCAACGAGCCACGAGTCGAACTCAATCGGTTGCCCCTCCGCATCGAAACGCAGGACCGAGTCCGCCATCATGGTTGCAGCAGTAGGAGAAGGACAGTACTGGGCAGTAGAGAGCGGCGGAAAGAGGAAATGCGCGGTGCAGTGCGGTATTGTGCGGTAGAGGGAGGTGCAGTACGGTAGGGTGCGGTGCAGTACAGTGCAGCGCGGTGCAGTGCGGTGCAAAGCGGTGCAAGTGCGGTGCAGAGCGGTGCAGTGCGGTGGAGAGTGGTACCGGGTGGTGCAACGGGATGCAGAGGGCCGAGGACGGCGGCGAGGCGTCTAGGAGATGGGGCCGCGGGCGGCAAGGCGATGGGGCCAGCAAGGGGATGGGGCGTCGGCTAGGAGGGCGGGCCGGTAGGGAGACGGGGCCGACTGGGCGACGAGGCCGGTGAGGTGACGGGTCCGGCTAGGGGGGGCGGGGCCGGCTGGGCTACGGGGGCCGGCTAGGCGACGGTGCTGATTTGGGCAGCGGGGCCAGCGAGGAGGCGGGGTCGACGGGGCCGATTGGGCGGCGGGGCCAGCTAGGAGGCGGGGTCGAAGGGGCTGATTGGGCGGCGGGGCCAGCTAGGAGGCGGGGCCGACGGGGCCGATTGGGCGGTGGGGCCAGCAAGCAGCGGGGCCGACGGGGCCGATTGGGCCGGGCAAGCTAGGAGGCGGGGCCGACGGGGCCGATTGGGCGGCGGGGCCAGCTAGGAGGCGGGGCCGACAGGGCCGACTGGACGACGGGGCCAGCTAGGAGGCGGGACTGGCTAGGCAACGGGGCGGGCTGGGCTACGGGGCCAGCTCGGCGACGGGGCTGGCTAGGCGACGGGGCTGGCTAGGACCTAGGGCGGAAGCGCTAGGGGGGGGGAGGGGGGGGAGACCTACCTACTCATGATACCATGTTAAAGTGAAAAGTGTTGACTAGAACAAGACATACAATAGTATATAAACTAATGGGTTGTACTCCCTAAGGCACAACCCTATATAATCTACAGTAACATACAATATATGTTTCACAGGAATCATAACCTTGAGACTCTCTCCGTTGCTGGTCCGCGGAATGGCGAACATGGCTGGCGCGGCGAAATCAAGAAAGCGGACTGCGGGGGATGGTGATTGGAATGGATCTCGGGGATAGAGGCTGGAAGGAAACTCCCAAAGGAACAGAGCTACTGGTGATTGCAGAGGAGCAATGCGGGGAGATCTCATTCGAAGGCAAACCCAGGCATATCCAGTGACGCCCAACTCAACCGCTTGGTTGGTTGGAATTTCCAGCAGCTAATGTGTTACAAATTGAAATATGTGTTTCTCTTAGAGCTGTCTCGATAACGTAGACCTAGAGGAATTGCCTCCTGTTTAAGTCCAAAATTCAGGCAGTTTGAAGAACATATGTCTTCTATACCAGATACGGTACTTTACTACACAACACTTACCGTATTCCCTCGGATAAAACACCCACGAGTGGCACTAAATTTTGCATCAAAATTTAGTGGGGGTGTAATTAGTGGCACTTTTTGTATAACGTCCGGGGGCTATGGAATGACAATTTTATGTTTATGAACTGGAATTGAACTGTGTTGTAGACAGTTCTTTTGTGCCGAATTTTGACGATTCTTGCACGTGATCGCATATATGGTGAGGAGGACCATCGTCATGCCACGTTGCAGGCAAACAGTCATAGGTTGCCTGCGTCACAGGTTGTCACGTTCTGTCAAATCGTTGTGGCAAGTGGCAACCTCGACGGGAATCAGGCTCGTACAGTATCGTGGTGGCAAGTGGCAACCTCCCATGAGCCTCGTACAGTATCAGGCTCGCAACATTCGCCTGATACTCGGGAATTCCAGGCATGGTAACAGTTCTACACCGCATTGAACCACTTCGCGTCGAGCTTGCACTGCTCAGTGACGCACGAGTCTGATAAGAGACACTCTGATAAGAGGCAAAATCTACAGAAATCCATTGAAAATGAACCAGGGGGGTGGTGTATAGGTTTCATGCCAAAAACTAGGGTGGTATGAATATCCAGTTTAATAAAGCACCCAGGTCTGCCCAAACCACCCATGGGT